TTTCCTCTGGTAGGTGCGATCTAATAAGTCTACGTTTTTATTTTTCATTTTTTATAGATAATCATTTTTTAAACTACACTTCAATGTGATACCAAATTCAACAGTGGTATGCGCCTGTAGGGCCTATGCACCTTATCGGGACAGGTTGGAAATCAAGAAAACTTTAATTTTTATAAGAGGTCACTGGTGGTCAGATTAAGGGGTGAACACTTCTCCAGTCACACATGTATGCGTCCCTACTTGTACCTAATGCAATAATGTATAATTTAAACAGCACACAGCCACACACTATACAATACATATATACTATCAGGAGTGTATCAATATCAATATTGATACACTCCTGATACTATGTACAGTATACATAGCTCAACAAATATTTTGTGATCTCATTATGATCCGCATGATGCATCCACTGAAAAGTCGAGAATTGTTTGCTTATGATCGATTTACAATGGTCCCTTAAAGCGAGAATATCTCGTGTTTTTACCAACCGTTTTCATATTTTCTTGACCATTCTGACTCTTTAACCAGTACTTCATGCATAAAACCATCCATATATATATGTAAGTATATATAGTTAGGCTAACATGTCATAGAACACTCGCACGTTATTCTTTTTCCCAACATGTTCACCAATCTGCATTTCAAATTATAATTTGTTTACATGTGTCAACAAAAATAGTGCGTGATTTTTGCTCTTGCGAGATGCCATTGACTAACACCCTGTCTCTACATTAGGTACTGTCTGTACTTTACATTTGTACATATTTTGAGAGAGGTACCATACTACTAGTCTATAAATATTTGTGTCACGTAAATACGTATGTACTGGTTTTGTGGGAGGGATTCCATTATCACAAACCAGGTGCATGCAAGCTGTTCATTTACTGTTTTATAGCCAATAAGTTAACAGCAGAAACACGGCTTAATTTTCATGCTGAAGTAATCAGTAATATGTAAACTGACAGGTGAAAAGTTCTAAATTTGTCTGAATTTATTCATTTTCGATTCATTTAAGAAATGATCGTTTTACGATACAAGTAAATTTTGCACAAAATATGCCATTTAATTGAGGTTATGTCTCGTCTATCTGATTAAAATAATGAGCGTAAAGATTTTTCCAAAGACATATACAGTAAAAACCCACGTATAAGAACATAGATTTTTCCAAGTTAGCCTCAACATGTTCTTATATAAATGGTGCTTACTGAAAAATTAGGCTCAAAAGGTTCTTAAATAGGTTCTTAATTGTTTCCACTTTTAAGATGTACTAGCTGAAACCCGCGCTACGCGCGGGCTTAGTGACTGTGATGCATGTGTTACCAGTACAGTAGTGTTATGTGTAAGGTGTTATATGGAGAGTTTAGTTATGGTTTTTGTTATGGTTGAGATGTCAATACAAATACATGTATTTTCAGGCTGAATGTGTTCTTATGTATATGCAATTTTTTGACCGCATTTCAGCCTGAGTGTTCTTAATCGACGTGTTCTTTTATGCGGGTTTTTACTGTATATGTAAATAATGCAGTACTGTGTCTCAATAACAATGCCAGGGTGCTGGCATTGTTAATGTTGAGCATTGGCATTGGCATTGGCATTGGCATTGTTATTGCATCGATATTGTTGAGCTCGTCTTTTTTATTTTACCTGTGTTTCTTTTTAAGTCTTCATCTGCATGGAAAATTAAGAACCTACTTTAAAATCTTAGCCTAAAACAGGTTCTTATGTAAAGGGGTCTAAATGGGAAATTTTAGCCTAACATGTTCTTAAAATCTATGTTCTTATACGCGGGTTTTTACTGTATATCAGCCATTCCACGTAAGTGTATACACCAAAGTTGAAAACTGAAGTGAGAGCTAGTGACATGCATTTTTTTTAATTAAGAGAAATAATGAAATGGTTTAACTTTAAATCCAAAATTTCATGTAAATAAGCCCTTTTATTAAAGAAGCACAGCTTCTTGAATGTGGGTGAACTTTAATAACTTCAATGCTAACATATAGTTTTTTTTAGTTTTTTTTTTAAACAAGTAGCAGCAAGCTAATATAAGACTGCCAGACAATTAAAAGTTGGATTTTTGTAGGTAGTCACGGTGGAATGGCTGATATGTCATAAAACGTTGCACCCATTGAACCAATCCCTAATAAAGCGGAGGTCACTGTATATATGTAACAGAAATGTACCAGAAACGTAGTGTAACATTTTTGTGGATATTTATCGTGGCATGGGTGGGGAACCTAGGCAGGGGTTATTGCGGGTGAGATTTGAAGCTTAGCCATCTGCAATTCCATATTTTAAAAATTGTTTTTTTTATATTAACCCGCAATTCGTGAAATAATAAAATAGGAACAGTGACAAAGTGGCAGGGCATTAAATGAATTATTTCATATAACTGTGCAATTGAGTAAAATATAGCAAAATACATTCTCATCTAATAGCGAACAAGCAACATGTTTATGCTGTTATGGTATATAAAATAGTATGTAGTGACAATCTTTTGTATAGTGACAACATCCTTGAAATTGGAAACAACCATACAAAAGTGCATCTCATTTCGAAGTAGTGGTTCTAGACTGCTACAACATCTCTATTGCTTACTTCAAGTTACCATGTGAAAGTACAGGTACTTGGTCTTGCAAGAAACAAGTGGTATTCTCAGGTAACTGCCTCAACATGATGTAAACGATTTCAATTGGTATATGTTTGTGAAAATGATTCCTGAGTGTTCTAAGACATGTTAGCCTTACTTTAGACACTTGCTGTTACGCAAGCAATACCAGTAAGTATTGTAGTTTTCAGAAAAATACTAGAACAAGTAGGAACATTGTTTGAAACCATTACGTTTATGTGGGGTAAAAAATTGGTTAACTTTGTATTTTTACCCAATAACATCACACCTATGCACAAACTGGGTTTTACACAATCATGTGACCAGATGCAATTTTAAGAGATGTGATCTATACTGTTGGCTTCATGATTATGTAACACTAACTGAAATCTCCCTTTTTATATGTGTATATAGGTGTGAAGTTATTGGTTAAAAATACGAAGTTAAATCATATTTTGTGCTAACTATTTTACTCTACAATGGAAGCACTTTCATTCCTGCAAAAAAAATATGCGGTGTAGGTGAAATACGGAGGTGCAGGCTTTGTGCAGGACGTACCCACGTCACTACCCATAAAAATTAATAGAGAAGTAATAACAAGAAATAAATTGAACAGTAATACTTATAGCCCAAGGATATAAGAGCTGTCCACATTTGCACATTTCGCACATTGCGAAAATGAATCGTGGTCAGCGCTTATATACATGAACCATACTGATAGTCTAAATCCCAACTGGTATATATGCAAAATTTGATCCCACATCAAACTAGTCTGGGCCAGGCCCGGGCCAGGTGTGCACTATATCGGAGCAGACACACAAAATGCTGATCCAGGCTACGTTAGCCCGGGTTGTCTGCGCATGCCAGGGTTAGAAATAAGGAGAAAAAAAGAGATGGTACACATGACCATCTAGTTTGAAATTTAGATGGTCCTCCTAAATTTTAGCTGATCCTCCTAAATTTCAAATTGTTCTCTAAAAGTAATGTGGCGTGCAAGCGTAAGAAAGAGATTTTACATGGTGATAAAATGGAAATTATTCACCTACAATGAATGTATCAAATGATACAGTAATTGTTTATTCACTTCAATAGTATATTGGTTAATAAAGTTGTTTCAGTAGAATTTAGTTGAACCCATATGGCCATAACGGTCCGGTCCGTCGGACCATTGACTTTGAAAATCTGATGGTCCTCCTGGTTATTTGATGGCCTCGAACCATCGGATCGACCATCGCTTATTTCGACCCCTGGCATGCTCAGTTTAGCTTATTACATCACTCAGCAGACATCTACAGTACTTTTATCTGACCCAAACAGGGCTATGCACAGGTGTATATCGAAATTTAGCCGGCGCCTGGCCCCGGATTGCGTACCGACGCAATTTAGTGCTGACTAACTTAGTACGGACTACCTTAGCACGCTTTGAAGCGAGCCTGGCCCACCTCCATTTGCGGGACTAACTTAGTCCGGACCAGCGTGTATTTAGTCCAGGATAGCGTGTACACACTGCAAAAATTTGGCACACGACTGGCCCGGACTAGTTTGATGTACGATCAAATTTGCAGTCTGTACGGAATATAAAGAAAATAACAAAAATTAATATGTGTGCAGTGTGGTCACAGGAGGCAATAAACCAATGGCAATGGCAATGTTACTAAGTGCTGTAAAATTCTAGTCGACTTTATGGTAGAGTAGCTATACCCAGTTTTTTTTAATAGTGTACTCACTTGATAAAATATCTTTGTCCTGTTTTTGGCATTGTGGCAACTTCCCATCCGGGTGGCAAGGGTATGTGATCAGGTATCTCTGAGTGTTGTCTGATGTGTTGGGAGTGGTGGGGTGGCGTCTGTGGGGTACTCAGCTGAGACTGTTGCATACTTGCCGGCGACGACTGAGCTCGAGAATGCGACGAGACAAGTCCAGGGGGTGGTGCTCTCATGAGGTGTGTCGAATCGGTACTGCTCTCCCTACTATGGTTGCATGACCTTGATCCTGTTTCTGGTGGCTTCCAGAACGATTCGGGAAGTTTCCTATTCCTCATCGGAAGGCTATGATTCTTTGGATCTGGTGACAGGGCAACTTTAAAAAGCGCCTCCAGTTCCGAGTCCGAATCACCTCGCACATGGATCACTTGGGTGCCTTTTTTGGGCTCCATATCGGTCCAAGTGTTACACCGACTGCGTGTGCCCTGAGCTGTGAACGACACGAGTTGCTCAAACGCAAAAAAAGCAACATAAAACTTATAACGAGCGAGAGGGGACAGTACTCAGATCTTTTCCTTTGGCTTTCCAGTAATATCTGCCCTCTGCGTCGAACTACATTAGCAGTGATTGCGCGAACACATCACACACCAGATGTGCTTGCTACATCCGCACTGAACTAACTTTTTCACAAGTTTGAAAGAACATTGCAAATACTACTAAGTATGCGCTGACATGTAACGCACTCGATTACGTAATTATTTGTCACTTTTCTACACATTTTTACCCGTAAAAGGAAATTACTTGAACCGGACATATGCGCAGTGATACAGGCCAATTTGTTTGAAGATATCCGGTCCGGGTGACGTCATCGTCCGCTTTCGGTACATACGAGCATGCATACGAGCGTCTCTATGCATGTCGCCCGATTACGGTATCGATGCATATCCATAGCAATCAATCAATCAATCAGGAGTTAATAAAGACAAATTTGTCTTTATTAACTCCTGATAGTATGTCATACTCTGGCTCAGAGTTCGCGAGAGAATATTAGTGTTAATCACGTACCGAGTTTGTAACGACGAATTTTAACAGTAAATGAGTAATTTGAACCATCATACTCGAGTTCATTTTGGTGAGCGGTCCCATTGTCTAATGTCATATATTATAGCGATGACAACTGTCAAGGTAATATCACTGCCGTTAATAGTACGCCTAGCAGCCTCAATTCCTCAGTAAACTAGTGCCGCAGAACGACGGTGCTCATCTGTCTGAGACAGAAAAAAGGAAGAGGTGTAGCAGGAGAGAGCGCGCGTGTATGCGGGAATATTTTGTCATTGAGCTGAGAACAGAATATACATCTTGTCAAGAGCTAATAATAATTATAATAATAATAACAACAAAAATAATTAATTATAGCATCAATATATATAATTGCTGGCATTTGATCTTATGTGTATATATTGTTCTCAGATCAAGAGTACTCCTATATAGATTACGCCTGTCGTTGTTGTTTAGCGTTTGTCCCTTCTTATTGTATTTGGTATGTGGTTTGATATATCCAATAGAAATAATACGTACACTAGTTAAACTAGTATCTCAATATATTTCCTTGGTGTATTCTTAACTTGTCAGCCATTGCGGAACCCAATAGAAATAATATACTGCTAACATACTGCCAATATATTTCGATCGGGAAACCAACGGTAGGCCTACTCATCAGCCTTATAACGCCGTTTTTGATAAATGGCGACTTCTCCGCATAGTAGTAGCATAGACTAAGACAGAGCACGTATGTGATATACGTGCTCTGACTAAGAATATCTTATTATATATATATAACTATACTAGCGGGATACCCGGCGTTGCCCAGGAAAATCAGTGGCGTTACTCAGTTGGTGACCGCTTGGTTGAAAGGAAAATACCCAAAAAAATCTAACTATCTATCTATCCATGCATCCATCCATGCATCCATCCATCCATCCCATCCCATCCCATCTCATCCCATCTCATCTCATCGCATCCCATGCCATTCCATGCCATCCCATGACATACCATGCCATGCCATCCCATGCCATCCCATGCCATGCCATCCCATCGCATGCCATCGCATGCCATCCCATCCCACCAAAAACAGTAAAAAATAAAAAGACATTAAAAGATAAAAGACATTAAAGGGAGAGTTTACTCTAGGTTCTAGCGGGATTATTTTGAGCTAATTTAGGTTATAATTACGCTACATAAAGAAGTTTCATGGTTCAATCACCATTAGAAATATTTAAAAAAATGGTTTTAACACTAACGACTACAGTTTGATATACAAAGACGGGTGGCGCCAGCTCAAGCGCACGATCTGATAAGCTTGGCGCAAAACCGACTTTCCAGCCAAGGGCTACAGACCGAGGGTGTTTTCTTATTTATTTCATTTAAAAGCAACCAAGGCATGTGTAATATCTTATAAAGACAATGTTTCAGTTATAATATGGATAAAATTTGCCCTACAATGAATACTCGTTCGGCTTAAATAGCATTTAGGTGATAAATATAATTTGCACTTTTGTGATTAGCCTCGGTCTGATAACGTGCAAAATAAATTGTCAAATACGCAACTTTTTCGGGTTTACGCCATCTATTGATTAATAGAATTTGTATCAATTTTTTAACTTTTTAAAATTTTTGTTTCAGCCCAGAACACCTCCCAGCGTGCCTGATCTGAAATATCATTTTTAGTTTTCCTCTAGGCTGCGGGAGTTCTCTAGATTATGCGATACGGACTAATTCGGCCTACAACAACTTTTACCCCAAACTTTATATATATATATTATATATAGATTCTTAGTGTATGGCAATATGGTGAATGTCGTTTCTACTCGTAGTTCTTGATTGTCCCACTACGTGGCAGCACTAAACAGCTCCGCTTCCAACTTCCGTTTCTTCTGACCCTAATGTAGAATTTTATAGTGGCATTTGTAGATAATATCTGATATAACAATCATGGGATTGCTGATCCCTCAGCGCGGCAGCCGATCGGCGGGTATTGTAGGGGGGCGTTTACAGATGGTGTACTTCGCCACTTCACGGTACGTAGCGCAGATTGGATCACCTGTCTCTATAATTATACCACAAGATATACATGGCCCGTAGCCGCTTTTCTATTGGGGGGTTCGTTTTTCAATGTTTGGCAATTTGTCGGCAGGGGCGTGTACAGGATTTGTACCAGGGGGGGTCTAACCGTAACCCAAAGTTGCGAGCACGCGAAGGGGGGGGGATCGGGACTCCTGGCCCCCCAAACACGCCCCTGCTCCATAGGCGCGAAGCCGACCAGGCCGAGGGAAGCCAAGCGGATCCGAGCGGGGGGTTAGGAGTGTGGGAGGGGGGTGCTTCACTGTTCACCCTCCCGCACGTATCGGCAGTTTTGCAATTATTACACTAAAATGGGAGCGACCTGAGGTGAAATTCTTGCCAAAATTTCAACTTAATTTTTTTTTTCTTGGTGGGGTGGGGGGGGGGATGGCTCGGGGGGGGGGTTTCGTTTCGAACCCCCCGAAACCCCCCCTGGCTACGGGCTGGATATATACAAACACATGTATCTATATGTCGCGTTCACACGGTTCCGATGCTGTTTGGCTCGAACAAAATGGGTAATGCTATCCCACGGGCGCGGAGGGAGGTGACGCGCAATGTGGCCAGCACTAGTGTTGCGTAGTGTAGGATTAGGGTTAGGGTCAGGGTTAGGGTTAGGGTTAGCGATTAGCGTTAGGGTTGGATTAGGCGTTAGGGATTACGGGTATAGGCGTTAGGGTTTTTGCCATCTATGATATTCTGTCCCCACACCATAGGTGTTATTTTTTGCTGGATCACAATGCCGTATATCATAGCGTGGCGACACATTATTATATTTAGTGTGAGTGTTCAGTGTTGGCGCATGTTGGAGTGAGGTTACCGTTGTAGGGTTAACGTGTTAACGTCATCGTCAACGTTGTATTCACGTGACCTCCCTCCACCGCCGTGGGATAGCAAAAACGCCTCGGCTGCCAAATTCTGGCGCTCGCGGCCGGTTTGTAGTCGGCGTTCACACGTTACGCAGTGAATATGTCTGTCAATTCAAATTCAAATTCAAATAAATTCTTATTGGACAAATATCTTCACAGATCTTTGGCAGATATGTCGTGAGATGGGCATTGTTTACGCATTAGAGTGGTTTACTTACGTCCGAGTTTATTAATCAATCTTGAAACGTGATCCTGATCAAATTTTTTCGATATTTTTTATACTGTTTTGGACTTTATTTAGTCGAAGTAGGCCTTACACGATTCGACACTCGGCCGGGCATCTACGCTCAACCGATTCTAACCGCTCTACTTTTTTTCCCCCTCGCCGAAAGCTTGGTGCTAAAAGTTGGCTCGGGCCTGCGTCCGGACGTTTTCGCGATGAGACCAAAATCTGGCACCGGCCTAATTAGGCTGTCGGGCCAAAAAACGTCGTATGAACGCGCCTTATGTATGATACTAATTTGATACTCTGGACGAGGCGTTCCTTAGCGGGAGAACTTTTTAGCCAGCACGGTTCCGGTTCCGGCTGCTAACGTTGATTTGCGACTGGCATGACCTCGCGTACAGTTCTTGCTGACGCTATTGGAGCGTAATTTACTATTGACGGCTCTATAAATATCACGTAAAGTCGTTAAACACATACATGTTTGTAAAAGCTATAGAATGTTTACAAACACACGTGTTCTTTACATGGATAAAGACTATTAAGCACAACCTACAATTTACCATGTTGCTTTCGTGCACGTGGTACTTTTAGCAGTAGCATTTAGCTGTTTAGTAAATTTATAAATATGAGGGGCGGAACGGGGGGCGTACATTTCCCACTTTCCCAGCAAAAAACACCCCATATTCCCCAGTTTCCCATCTCAAATAAATCCAATTCAGTTTCCATGGAAACTTATGTAGACATGTTTCAGGAAATTCAGTAGTTTACGGTTTTAAACACTAACATAAATACTTCAATATTTACATACTATTATTTATCTGGGCATATTAATAAAAAAATATTTTTTTTTTTTGAATATTTTACAAAATATTAGCGCCAGATTGAAATCCCGACGAATTGACGACAATTTTCCCAGATAGATCCCAGACAATTTTAGAGGGTCTTTTCACGTCCCGATGGACTTTCTATTCGCCCGATCACGGAAAATTTATCTGACATTTCCAGTTCCAGGTAATTTTAAAATGGCCCAATTGCCGCGTCCCGAGAAATACCCGGTATCCCCCCCTCAAATAACTAATATATAATTATATATATATATATATATTATTATTTATGTGGTTGTGTCGACCTCACTGGACGCGGCGCGGTGTGTGTGCTGTGCGCTGTGTGCTGTGCGCTGTTGCGCGTGAGTGTGCTGTGGTATGTACGTCGCGTGAGTGTGCGTTGTGGCGCGCATTGTGTGATGTGTGCGTGCTTTCGGGGGCGCGCGGGGGCGTGTGTGTGCGTGTGAGATTACTGCGTGTGGCTTTGCGTCGTTGTACGTTGCGCCGTGCAGTGCGTGTGTGTGTGATGTGTGTGTATGTGGCGTGTGCGTGCGTCTGTTGCGCGTGGTGTGCTCGTTGGTATGTACCGTCGCGACCGTTTGAGTTGTGTAGGTGGCGCGATCCGGGTGTGTATGTGTGTGTCGTCGCGTGCGGTGAGTGTGTCGTGCGTATTGTTACGTGCCGTGAGTGTGTTGTGCGCGCGCATTGTGGTGTGTGTGTGTGTGTGGCGTGCCGCGCTGCGGGGGGTGTGTGTTTTGCATTGCGTCGTGTGTGCGTGTGAGTACGCGTGTGCTTCTGCGTGTGTACGTGCGCCGGTGGTGCGTGTGCTGCAGTGTGTGTAGTTGTGTGTGTGTTGTGGTGTGTGTGTGTCTGTGCGTGCGCGTGTGTTTATTTGTTTATTGTTATATGGTATTTAAGGACTTATTACTATGCAATGGATTGATACCACTTGACAATTAAATAGTTATTATCGTAGTTAATATTTCGTTACAATTAATAAAACATTGTTGATGCATGATATATAATTATATCTGCATAATGGTATATAATGTATATAATCAATGTGTATACACAATGTAGAAACATAATTATGTATATTATAATGTATATAATCGTAATGGTATTACACAATTAATACATACATAATGTAATACATATTACTGTAATTAATGTATATAATGTATAATATGTTTATTCACAATATTATATTGTCGGCTGGTTTCAATAAGTTTATTTACAAAACGTTCATTCTTGGGCGGCCCGTTTGTATTGTTTTGCTGTATACTGTTTGTTTATTAACTTATTCAATTGAAATGTCATGTGATACATTATTAATTAGTTTATATTATCAAGTAATCCAAACAAGAGCCGCAGAGGTCTTGGGCTCATCTGACGGTTCTGTTGCCTACGATTATAAACTCAAATATTCAGTCTGCGTAGTACCACATTTGTTTTTAGCGCGGCAGATATGCAACACGCAGTTGCGATACACATTCATTGTTAGGACACCGCCCACTAATCGTCTATGGAGGGAGGGGGACGAGTGGGGAAGGGGGTGTCGGGGAGGGTTGGGGGTAATGGGGCGGGGGCGGATGGGTGGGGGATGGGGAAGGGGAGGCGATGGGGGGGAGGCGGGCTCTAATAGCAAAAAGCAGTTCACTCCTTTGTTAACAGTCAACAATACTCCATGTTTAACCCTCCTCTTGAGGGTCAAAAGGTTATCCGACACTTACTCTTCGCATGTCAGCAAGAAGGGACCATTTCATGCGCTCCTTTCATAAAGCCAATAAAAATGCTAGGTCACGCTGAAACAAAAAGTTTTTCAAATCGCTCTTCAGACCATGTCCTCAGAAATAGTCTAAATCTGCCCTGTGCCCACTGCCTTTGACCTGTTGACCTCCAGATTTCGGGCACCAGTGATGGCTTTTCTACCATTGATGTATACGCCGACTATCACGAGCCTAGGCGAGCCGGTTTAGATTGTGCCGCAATCCTGCATCTTCTCCCTATACCTTAAGTTAAGGGGTGAATGTTCCCTTCTTTTACACCTCTTGACCTTGACTTTGACCCCCAGCTTCGACATCCAACTCGTTTTCGGATTACCCCCCCACTTCCCGAATATCAGGTGACCGTACGTCGAGCGTTAAGATTTGCTGCCCAACTGTGACGCCGACGCACGGACGATCGGGACGGGACGATGAAGGATTTCTACAAAGCTGCATCTGACTATGTCAGATGAGCTAAAAAGTCACATACATCCAATACAAGTTATTTGACATGTGTGACTGGAAGACCTGGGGGCGGTGCGTAGTGCGTCGGAATGTAATTCACTCCCATCCAAGTCACCTTATAATTTTTAATTGGTAGGTGTTATATTATAATATTATATATATATATATATCATGATATTAATATATATAACAGATCGTGTTCGTGACATGTTGCAGGAGCATTTAAAGGATTGACGGTAAAATATTCGGCGATAGAGGTACATAAAATAAGAGTAAATATGAGTCTTCTTTTTATTATCTTATTTTTTTTTTTGAAACCACTGGCCAGTTTGGTTCAAGTCCCGTTCCCACACAAGCCACACACAATACACGCACACACACGCACACGCTCGCGCACATCACACACACACACACACACACACACACACGCGCGCAGCGCACAACTAATGACACCGCGCACGTGCGCACCACACACATACACACCACACACACACCACCACACACACACACACACACACACACACACACACACACACACACATCACACACACACCACACACACACATACACACTCTCCACACAGCACCAACACACACACACACGCAGCTACGTGCTGCGCGCGACACACACACACACGCACACTAGAAAGTATTCATAGTAGAAATAATTCTGCGGTAAAAATTAAAGCCCTTTTACCCAAACAGAGACCTTAACTTTTAGTGCACATGATTTCACCGCAGTAAAAATAATTTATCCAAATTAACCATGATAAATTTGATGAAGGGTTATAGGTTTAACATACAGAAAATGGACACGAAGAGGCAAATCAAGTTCAGCCCAAACCACCTCGGAACTATCATGATAGTTTTTGAAACCCCATATTGTAGTGTAGTCAATAAACTATGTTTTCCGATGATTCCGATCGAGTGAGGCCGCTCACAGTCCGGGTCACAGTCACCGTCCTTACTGATAACACTGCCTGCTATCTGTTAGTACAATAGTTATATAGTACGATATTGATGTTTCAGTAGGCTTAATAGCGAATAAACACAACTTTTGTAATGCGGATATTCATTATAGTTTCATGCAGAATACCATCTAACGCAATCTTTTTAGCTATCTATTACATATTTATATGCATGCGTAGGGGGCCTATATGAAAACTATTTCACCCCCAGTTTGTAACCTATTTGTTTGTGCATTCGTTATTACGACAGATTATAGTAAACTAGTGTAAACCCGTATTTTTGGCCATTTCACTTCTATATTGTCCGTACGTCAGTTTCTTACACAGCTCCTTAACCTTCACGATTTGCACCTGCATTAAAATCTATTATCATACATTTATGAGTCACTGCCATGCTGTGTGAAAGATTCCGCAATTTATACAAAGACGAACTGCATTATTCAGTGTCATATGCCATGTAAGAATAACACTTCGGTAAGCACATGTAACGTTTGGCTCTTATCACTAGACCAACATATTGTTTATTGTTTTTACTGAAAAAATATAGTTGGGTTCACATAAGAAATGTATGACCGGACGCGTAGCCTGGGAGCTGCGCGTCCGGTAGCCGTGGCCTATATTTATTAGCTAATAATTATAATCTACCTATATTATTTCTATGGACGAGAGTCACGTGTTAAACTCGATTCCTACATGCCTGTAACGTCTGGATGAGCTAAAATTACAATCCGATAGCTCCGCCTAGGAGTGTCGAAGTGACAAGTGGTTGGTCTTGTTTTAGTTAGGAAAGAATGCTGCTTAATGCAATACTATCAACTTATTCTAGACTTGCATTTAAAATAATACAATTTTGCTGTGAAATAGCACTATTCCCCTGTTTTCCCATTATACACTACGTATTATTAGCTTATTATATGTATATATAATCGTCCTAAATATGTCCTTTCATTATAGTAACCCTAAAAACAATACTGTGTTTGATGTACAATATTGAATGTGTGCATGTGCAAATGTGTACACATGCATGCGTGTATGCAATGCAAAACTGGCAAGTGAAAAAATAGACATACACATATAACCAACACTACAGATCCTTTTAAATCTATTATATATTTAGGGATTTTGTGGTAGTTATGGAAGAGATACATTAAAGAATGCAAGGACTATCATTTGTATGTTTATTTGATGTACTTATCCATGAATTTTTTGTGGAATTCTGAGCGCAGCGTATCATTGACGAACCTGCCTGTCTTATTTTCAAGTCCCTTGGCGCAGTTCTTAAAAACAACATCATCATCCCACCTGAAAAGTTCGAAATTAAACTATTAGCATCAAACAGAAATACCTCCGAGTCTCATACCATGAATGGATTTTTAACAATATAGATTGTTACATTGACTCAAAAGTCAATATTGCTAAATACAGTTAATTTCTATCAGGAAGGGCTGCAAATTTCCTAGCTATGCTAGAATCAGAACCATGTTAGTTAGGTATGCATGAGAATGGAAAACTGTAAAACCCCCAAAACTAGTCCAGTAAATCCCCCCCCCCTTGCCCATGCACCCGGTCAAAGGGTACATTGTCAGAAACATAGATAGTTATGACTATCACAAGTATCAGGGGCGGATCCAGGGGGGTGCAGAGGGTGCGCACCCCCCCCCCTTCCCACGCAAAGTGCCCTTTTTGCAAAAGTTGCCTTATTAAAAAAACGGTATATTTTGCCACTTGGCCTGTATCTGACAAGTATTTCACTCAGTCGGACCCAATCAAGCCCTCATTTTTCTTAGCATATATATATTGGTCGGGCCCAGGAGTCGGGCCATACCATGCTCAAATCCAAAACGGAAAATCTAGGTCCAAAACTAACCGCTGCCTTTCTTAAAATGATGTTAGCAATACAGTGGCGGCGCCATGCAGCATGTCGCCACTGTACGGTCGCCTGTATAGGAGGCGTATAACAGTAAGCGTCCGCGATTGTTCACCGTTGCACTACTTCGTCTCTAGAAAAGGCCTTTTTTGGCATTTTTTTTCGCCGAAATTCGGCACTAGAGTGCAATAATTAGCATTATGCACGCAAGTTGGATGCCTCGTGGACGTGGAGAAAGCATTAGTGATTAGAAGTAAAATTATTTTTGTTATGTATTCGTGAGATTCCGTCAGGTGGCGTAGTCAGAGCGACCGGATGGTGATTT